CATTGACCGGCCTGAGGATCGGTGAGCTGACCACCGAATTCGAGCTCGACAACGGGGTCATTGAGGAGAACGACCTTTCGTATCTCACCTTAGGCACTGAGTACCGGCGCGACGCCGACTACTACACCTCGGGGCTCCTGATCGGCATCGGATATTACCGCCTCGAAGGCCCCTTCTCGGACGAGGACAGCCTCGGGTTGACCCTCGGCGTCACCGGCGATTTTGCGATCAACCCCAGTTTCAGCGTGGTGGTGGAGCTTTCCGGCCACTATGCGGATTTCGACCGTGCACAAATCTTCTTGCTCGCCCACGCCGGTCTAGCTTTCAAGTTCTGAAGCTCCCGCCTATCACTCTCGGAGGAGACCCGGATCTCAATGGATCGGGTCTGCGATGGATCGGGCAACGGCGATCGGGCTTCTAGCCGGTCGCCGTTTGTGCTGCCTCCGCGGCTTCTTCCGCTTCCTCGCGAATGGCCATTCCGAGAGCGTCCTCGATTTGACCTCGGATCTCCGGATCATCCCAATTGACGGCGCCGATGTAGCTGTCCACCAAACGCCCGCGAACCACGAGGTGGGTTTCCGGCAATTTCTGGGTACCGTAGCTGCGGGCCACTTTCCAATCGGGATCGAAGAGCCCCGGCCCTGAGGCGCCCAAAAACTCGCTCACCTTTTGGGTGTCGTCGGCCACGGCCACCATCACCAGCTGGAAACGGGGATTGTCCGCGTAGTCTGCCGCAAGGCGTTGAATCGCCGGGGTTTCGGTAATACAGGGCGGGCACCAGGTCGACCAGAAATGGATCAGCGTCACGGGAGCGGTTTGGGAAGCGAGGGGTACCACGCGACCACTCGCGTCCACCAAATTGCCCATCGGTGCCGTGTCGTCTTCCTCGTGGGGCCAGAGCAACAGACCGAGCATCGCCACCGCAACGATCATGAAGGCCCAATGGGCCTCGCGCCCTAAACCGGGCCTCAGGTCGTCCAACGGCATAGAATTCAGCGTTCCCTGTGCACTTTCGCTTTCCATTCCTGTACTCTCGCTTTAAACGTCTTAAACTTATGATC